TTCTTTTCTGTAAACACTCTAGCTAGTCTTCTTGTTACTATTTTTGTAATAATTTTTCTAAAAGTTTCAATTAATGCTATTGGTCTAATATTGTTTAGACAGTATCCCCAATCTACATCTTTTGGAATTAGATATATATGTGCTACTTTCTACTTTTTTGGTATATCTCCTCTTTTTATGATTAGGTTTGCAAATGTTTTAAATATTTCTTGTGATTTCTTTTTTGCTTGTTTTATTAATATGTAGCTTATGCCTGATATTCCTGAAGCTGTGTTTACTTTGAGCTCTCTAAGTATATCTTTCTATTCTTTTTCTTCTATTTTTCTATCTAATTTCTCATACCAGACCTCATTAATTCACTCTTTTGGTTTATATATTTCTTTCTATTCTTTTGTTATTTCTTCTAGTTTGGTGTTCTTTTTTTTAAATTGGTTTTTGTAATGTGCTGCCAAGCCACTTAGAACTGCATTTGGCTCTGATACTAGGTCAACTTCTTTCTTATCTTGTGTTATAAATCTGTCTAGAACAATCTTTTTGTATGGTCTGTTTAGTAGGCTGCAGATTATTTATCCTTGATCAGTTTTAATCATTTTGCATCTTTTGTTTATGTTTTCTTCTATTTGTTTCCTCTGTGCTCGTTTTCATTCTTCTTTTCTTGTTTCTTTGATTATTCTTTGCCAACCTTTAATATCATCTATTCAGACCTCTGACCATTGTTTGTTTAGTTTTGGCAATATTACTCCTAGCTTTTTTCTTATATTCTTTAGTTTGTTGTTTATCTCGATTTTTCTTTCTCTCCTACATCTTGTTTCTTTATACTTTTTGCTTTCTTGATTATTTGTTGAAGTTCAATAATATGTTTGCATTGTTTTAACTTTTTCTGGTCTTGTCTTCTGTTCACCTTTGTGTTAAATATCTTTTTCTTCAAAATTTGCTTGTTTGCTGCTTCAATTATAGCCTCTTCTATTGCATTCCATATCTGATCAAGTCTATCTGTGTTATAATTTACTTCTGCTTCATTATCCTCTAGTTGTCTTAGTATTTTTTTCCATTCTAGCTGATTTTGTAGCTCTCTTGCATATTCTTCCCAATCTTCTTGTCTTGCTTCATCATATAGATATATTGTTTTTGTTTGGTTTTTACATTTGGTTTCTGCCTTACTGCAATTTGTAATTACATGTTTTAACCATACTTCTGTTGTTATTATTTTGTGATCATTGTCTGTTAGGCCTTCTGCTTCTTCTATGTTCGCTTTCTGTAAGCCTGCTACAATTGTTTCTAACAGCCAGATGTAATCTATTCTTGTTGCAGCCTTCTGATTTGTTCATATGTATGCTTCTTTTGCCAAATACATGCTTCTAAATGAGTATACAAAACTCTGTCTTTTAAGTCAGCTGAATATTGGTAGTCTTTTATAACTTGATATTTGCAGATGCTGTTTATCTAGTATGTTATCTACTGTGTAGTTGAAGTCATCTAGTATAATTATTTCTGTACTCTTTTTTTTGTTTGTTACTAGCTTTACAATTTTTTGCTGAATTTTCTTGCTGATCGATTTGTCATTTAGTGAGATGTATACTTCTAATACTATTAGTTCTAGTTGTTTAAAATATAATCTCAACTCTAGCAGGTACTTGCTGATTCTTTTAACTGCTTTTACATGCTTTTTCCACTTTTCATCTATTAATATTCCTATTCCTGACCCTTTTTTCTTGTCCATTGCTGCACTGGTCTAATAACCTTTATAATGTGTGCTGCAATTGTATAATAAAAACTTCCCTTCCTTTTCTGTAATGTTTGTTTCTGTTATTCCTACTACTGTAAGTTTTTCTTTACTTGCCCATTCTATCAGGTTTTCTAATTTCCAACCCCTGGTTTTAAGTCTATTAATGTTGTAACATACAATTTTGATTTCTTTTCTTCCTTGTTTCCATTTTTCTTTTAGATATTTATGTTGTATTTCTATATCTACCTTCTTTTCCTTTTCTTTTTTCTTTGTTTCTTTTTTGTGACCAGAAGATGTTTTCATGTCATACTTTTTAAAATTTCTTCTTTCTACATATAGGAACTCTTCAATTTCCTAATCTATATTCATTGATTTAACAAGGATGCTCTTAGGAGTAATCAGCCAGAGTTCCCCTGTTGTCCCTCTTGTGTCTTCTAATCTCTCAAGTCTTTCTACAATTTGTCTTAAAATGTCATTTGTATATGAAGTTTCTTCTTGTACTTGAGATTTGGTTTTAGCTACTTTTCTTCTGTGATGTCTGTCTTTCTCTTTGATGAAGTTTATATATTTTGCTCCATTTTCTGTACCTTGACCTTGTATATAGCCTCTGCTTGTTGTTGTTCAATCTTCTATTTTTCGATTTTGTCTTCTTCTTCTTCTGTTTATGTTTGGCCTATGTTCTTATTCTTCTTCTCTATTGATGTTCTTTTCTGCTTTAGAGGTTTGACTAAACCTTTCTCAGCTTCTTCCTCTTTCTTGTTTAAAGCTTTTTCTTCATTTTGTTTCTTCTATTCCTTCTTTTATCCAGTAAAGTCGAAAATTGTTAAACATAAATAGTTTTAACTGGACTAATTTCATATCCTCTTCTGTTGCAAACATAACTGTTGTAGTTCTTCTTTGGTTTCTATTTCTGTTTGGAGATATGTAAACTGATTTAACCCTTTTGCTTTTCAAACTCTGTAATAGTAGAACTTCTGAGCAGCTTCTTGGTAATTCTGTCAGTTTTGTTGTATATCTTCTTTGTCTTTCTCTCACTTCATGGTCCTCTATCTCCTTGGTTACTCATACTAACTTTTTATTGTTTACTGGTATAGCCCATGGTATGTCTCATATGTTTCTTCTATTTGTACAATAGCTAAGGCCTTATACTTTGACTTTTTAATTCTTACTATGTGGGCTTTTCTAAATTTTCTGCAGATGTATTCTACTTCTTTCTTGTTTATGTTTATTGGCAAGTTTCAGATTGTTATGTCTTTTGTGTTCTCTAATTTTTCATTTATTTTGTGTTGGTTTTTGTTTGTCTTGTTTTTGTTTACTTTCTGTTCAGATTCTTCTTCTCTGGTTCTTGCTTCATTGTTTCTTTTCTTCTAGTATTTCTCATTATATTGTGTTTGTTTTCTTCTACTATCTTTCTCTTTTTCTTCTAGTATTTCTCATTGTATTGTATTTGTTTTCTTCTACTATCTTCCTCTTTTTCTTCTGGTATCATTTTGTATTAGTCACTTACCTTTCTGCTGATTCTTTGTATTGCTTCACTTCTGCCATATTCGCAGTCGAAGTCTACTTCTATTCATAAATTTTCACTTTTAAAAATTTCTCTAATATCTTTAACATGTATGTTGTTTCTTAGGGACTACCTGATGAATTTTATATGATTTTCTTTTGTTTTGCTAAGTATATTATGCACTGGTATGTTAGTGAGTAAACTGTTGTTTTGGTTGCAGTTTCTTTTATTTGGGGCCCACATACTCTCTTCTAAGGGTTCTTTAAATATGTCGATTTCTTTTTCAATTTCCTTACTAATGCTATCTTGTTCTTGCTTCTCTTCTTGTTCTTCTGCATTTTTTCTTTGACTAGGCAAATTCTCTTTCATTTGGTCCTTGTTTATTATACTTACCTCTATACTTACTTCTTTTTGTAAGTTGCTGTTGTTTTGTAGTTTTTTTTCTGCTGTTTTTTCACTTTCTGTCTTTTTTTCTTGCATTACTTTGTATGATTCTTCTTGATTTTTGCTTGCTTCGTTTGGCTGTTGCTGTATATTTTTACCTTTGTCCTGTAACTGTGCTATTGCTAGTTCTTCTATTGTAGCATTTTTGTTTTGTTTGTTGATATTAATTTTCTTTTCTGATTGCTCTTCTTCTGCTTTTATGATTATCTCTCTAGTTATACATAGCAGAGCAACTTTTATTGGGTCTTGTTCTGTTAGCATAGCAACAATTTCATCTTCTCTGTCTGGTGTTGCAAATAGTTTGCTTGCTTGATTGAAAAACACCTTGTTGTGTATGCTATTTGCTGCCCAATATGCTTTCTTGATATAAATTGTCATTAGACTTTTTTTTTAATTTTGTGTGCTACTCATTTTCCTATCTAGATATTAGCAATTTCTGTTTGCTACTTGTTGTTCTGGAATCTTCTATGCTTATATTTATCACTATCCTAATTAGGTTTATTTGCACGCTAACTAATTTACATGTTTGTTTTGTTCTTCTGTTCACATGTTGCAGTAATCTACAGATCTGCATTTCCAGATTACAAAGAATTTCCCAAATTCTGTTTTTCCTAGTGTCAACCAAGGTGTTTTCATTCTATCTTCTTAGCAAGTTATCCAAATTTTCTCTTTCTTGCTCTCATTATATCTTCTTTACTAGCTTTATCTTTTTCCTTAAACCTGTAAAGTCAGTTTAGACAATTGTTTGTTGACAAACTTCTAACTTGTTTTCTTGCAGTTTGTGTACAAATGATCAGTGGAGAGAGTTATTTCTGATACTTTGTAATTAAGAAAATAATAAAAATTAAAAATATTACTTAAATGAAAATTTCTTAGATTACACTATGTGTATCTTACACATATTTATTATTTATTATACTATGTGTATATTACATATAGTATTATTGTTTATTATACTATGTATATATTACACATACTGTATTAAGATTTATTTATACAGACTGTATATATTCGAATAGTGCTATCAAATATAAGATCGCTTTGGTGCAATTAGAACTCCGCTTAAGCATTGTTGTGCTTCATGCATTCGACTAATGTATGATGTAATTCTGAGATATAAATACAAAAGTGATAACAATAACGATTTGTTTTCTTTTGCTTCTATACGGTTCTAATCTAAATTCGTATTTGACAAAAATCTTTCATGTTCAATCGTCAAAATAAATCAATAATTAATACAGTGTCATGAACGTACCATTTATGGATCCAGAAAATGTAAGCAAAAGTGTAATTAATAAGTTTCTTAAAAGCAATACACAAGAAATTAAGGCTCACTAAAATGCTATCGCTATACTTTTACAGTATTCGGCTTTATTTGAGCTGCCACTAGACCTTTTATTTCCGGTTTCGTCAAGTTCTCATACATTTACAGCACCTCCGGAGCTAGACAATATCAATTTTTCTGATTTGTCATTACCTCTTGTAAGCCGATTTTTTTCATATCCAAATTAGGATACATATCATCAACATTAAATCATTATACATACGTACATACTAGAATCCAGTTTTATCAAATCTTACGTCTCCGGGACCATCCCAGAATTCTATGTCTACAATGTTTCCAGAACCAATTGACATAAATTCTCCTGTTGATTTTTTATCACCTTCGGTAAAAGCGGCTTTAGTGCTTTTGTGGTTTTTTACACTAATGCTAACACTAATGTAATCTTGTTTAATTTTTATTAAAGGTCAATTTTAGTAGCGATCATCATCAGCCTTCTGACTTAAATGATGATGGAATTATAACTGATACAGATCCGGAGGAAAGTGAGAATCTGATAATTACTTCAGAGTTAGATAGTAACCTTATCTTTGGAGACTGGGAGGAATTTAAAGCATGGTTAGATGATTATTCAAAGAAACAGAGATTTAGTTATAGGGTTAGAACCAGTGAGAAGGATGGAAATATAATGTGATGTGCTACTTTAGAGTGTTCAAGGTCAGGTGTTCCCAATGCACAAGTGACTTGCGATCCCACTAAATGATGAAATGCAGTCTCACAACGCACAAATTGTCAATGGAGGCTTAATATTTACTGCTCTAAAAAAAACAATAATAGGTTAAAGATTAATTCATTCGTGGATAAGCATAATCATGTGCTTAGCAAAACTATTCATGAAACAGCACCAAGATTCAGAAAATTAACACCAGAAATGTTATCCGACATAGAGAAATATGTTATACAAAGCAGGATGGACTTCGGATCTATTTACCCTTTACTCAAACACGATTATCCTAATAAACCTATCTTTAAAAAAGACCTTTACAATGCAGTATATCAGTTTAGAGCTAAAAATAATCCCGGTGACTCAGATGCATTCCAAATGCTCCAAATATTATTGAGTTGGAAAGAATCCAACCCTTTATGGGTGGTTAAAGTGCACTTAGATCCTTTTTCTAGAAGATTAAACAGGCTATTATGGATGTCTCCATCACAAAGGTCACTATATAAAAATTTCTATGACATTGTAATCATCGACACTACGTCCAACACAAATCGTTTTCAGATGATACTCTTTGTAATTTTAGTCATTGATAATCATTTCAGATCAAGAATCGTCGCTACTGCTGTTATAGATGACGAGACTCTTGATACTTTTCGATGGATTTTTAATACTTTATTTGAAAAAATGAGTATAAATCCGAAAGTCATATTTACTGATTCTGATCCATCCATGATTAGCATGATTAAAGAAATATATCCTAATACCAACCATTTGTTATGTATTTTCCATATTGATATGAATATCCGAAAAAAGCTTAAATGTAAATTGAGATCCCATTTTGAAGAATTTTGTCAAAAGTTCTATACTTGTCGAAATTCATTATGCAGTGAGTTATTTAAGGCTCAATGGCTCCATTTGATCGATCAATATCCAGAAATATCAAAGTATATGTCAGAAACGCTTTATGTTAATAATGAGTCTTGAGGAATACCATGGATACGTAATCAATTTACAGCTGATGCCCAAAGCACACAGCGAATAGAGTCTATTAACAAACAGATACATGATAAGGTTGATCGAGCTACTTCTCTCTGCGATTTGCTAGCCAACATTAATAATTACATTAAAAATGAGAAGCATTTTGAAAGATTTGAAGTTGAACGTAGTACATTACCAACAGTTGGATTACCAATACTAAATACTATGCTTTTTAGACAGGTAGACGATGTTATTAAAACGGTTTTAACACCTATTATGCTGGGAAAACAGCGTTTACAAATGAATCAATCAGTATGTTATGATGTTAATCAAATTTTAGAATGGGAAAAATTAATAGAGGAAAGTTGTTTTATTTTTTTCTTTTATTTGGATTTAACATAGATATTTGTGTTAATACTTGTTTGATTTATCATAGATTGATGATGACAATGAAGAGGTTAATATTGGTCTTCAGGAACAAGAGCAAGGCATTCGTCAAATTCTTTTTAAATCACTTATTAAAAATGTTAAACAAGATGAAGTCTTAGAAGTATGGAACATTAGAGCTACTGGAAAGGCAGGCATTGGACACTACATAGTATTATTAAATGACGGTACACATTTATGTACATGTCTTTTACTATTAAATAAGGGGTTGTTATGTCATCATTTTTTTCGTGTTTCTACTTATTCCCAAGTAGCCACTTTTCATGTAGCTCTTATTTTATCTCGGTGGTATCTGGAACCCAATATAGATCAAAAAAGACTTTTACAACAAACCTCAGCATTTAAAGTTTGTTGCGCAGTTAGATCAGAAGGTGTTCAACATAATATTACATTTGAGAATTTGTTTTCCATTCGAT